CGCGCGTGCTGACGCTGCAGATCAGCGTGCGTACGCTGCTGCAGCTGCTGGTGTTTGCGATGCTGCTCTACCAGCACTGCACCTGGCAACGCCTGTGCGTGCTGGTCGCAGGCGGCGTCGCGCTGTGGGTGACGTCATCTTGGACGCCCCTGCGCCAGTTCATCACGTCGCTCCTGGTCCCGCCGCCGCCGCGGCAGCACCACCAGCACCCGGCACAGCAGCAGCAGCAGCAGGAGCAGCAGGAGCAGCAGCAGGAGCAGCAGGATGCCGCAGCGCAGCAGGACGCCGGCGGCGACGCGGCGGAGCCTCCCGCGAGGCCGGCGCAGGAGCAGCAGCCGCGCGACCCGCCGCAGGCCGAGCCGCGGCAGCAGGAGCAGCCGGCGCCGCCGGCGCCAGCGGACGCCGCGGGCCCCGCGGCCCATGCTGCCCCTGCGGCCCTGCAGCAGGGCGTGCTCCGAGAGATTCTGACTGTGCTGGTGGGTTTTGTGACGTCGCTACTGCCGGGCTTCAACATGAATGCAGAGGATGCGGCTGTCTTCGCCGCCGCACAGGAGATGATGGCTCGCGAGGCAGCCGCTGCGGCTGCCGCGGCGGGGCCGGGCGCGCCGCAGCGGCGGCGGCAGGCGGCGGACGGTGGGGAGGAGCGCGAGTGACGCCGGGAGGGGCGCGGCTGCAGAGCTTTGGCTGCCGCAAGGGCCAGCTGGTTGGAGGGGTTGGCAGTAGTTGATAGGAAGCACTGTCATGTTTCTTTTGAGCGTGGCGCGTGGTGCGTGGTCCGCCCGCCACCACCATGTCAAGATGACTGCCTGACGAGCTTAGGTCTAGGGCCCATTTCCCGCTCTTGAAACTTTTCCGGCGCCTGATCAAACCAGGCGCCTGTCCCGTCGGGCCCTGGGCTCAAATCAGACTTGAATCTTTGCCGACACTGCGCAGCGGGTGGCAAAGCCCCACCTGCTTGGTGCAACAAGCCCCTGCGCTTGTCGACCATCCCCTTGCAAGCGGCGTATCGTGCCTGCTTTGGGGTTGGCATCTGCAATTGATTGATTTGTTGTGACCGATTTACCAGCCTGGGAGCCTGGTTGCCTGGCGGTACCTCAGTACCACATGGGCTGCACACATGCATCCAAATTGAACTTTGTAGGGAGTGGTAACATTCAACTAAGGTAATGGATGTGCTCTGAATGAGTGTGAGTGCCAAAACTGACAGGGTTTCTCTGCGGGCATGGCACTCTGACCCAGGGCATGCGCACGCGTTTGCCCGCACATGCACACCGCGTGCTGCGTACACGTCATAAAAGCATCAACATGTATACAAGGTTTCACAAGTCGCACCCTCAAAGCCAGTCAGGATGTTGCAGTACAGTGCCAGTGACACACAACAGTCACCACCCAGGCACCACCACCACGCTCTCAAGGTGCCGTGACAGCCCCACGTCGGCCCTTTTGCCGGTTGTGTGTGTCACAAGTCCTACAAAACATCACGAACCATGGGGTGAGGCGGTGGCAAAGCGTTGTGCCGGCCGACGGCTGCTGCGCAGGGGACAGCTTTGCCGCTTTGTCATGTTCAAAGTTGTAGCAGTATGTTTTTCAAGCATGCAGATGGAGCCTCAGAGCCAGAACACCAGCTACATTTGGGGTGTGCAGTCTGCAGTGGTGCTGTAGCGCCATTCCAAGCAATCTCGAAAGAGTTTTTAGATCAAAACAGCCATGGGAGACGAGCAGGGCTGCGGGGGTGCTACAGCAGGCTCGCCGTTCGCCACGCTAGGTATTGCAGCAGCGCGAGCGGCACCTGATCTGCGCTGCTGCGCCACGACCCCCGCAGCAAGACGCGTGGTATGGGCGCGGGGCGCAAGCTGCAGATCCACAGGCGCAACCAGCGGTGGGCGGACAAGGACTTCAAGAAGAGCCACCTGGGCAGCGAGTGGAAGAAGCCGTTCGCTGGCGCGTCGCACGCCAAGGGCATCGTCTTGGAGAAGATGTGAGCGGCGGGGCGGGGCCGGACGCGGCCCTCGTGGCCCGGCAGCAGGGCGCTGCCGCGAGGCCGCTGCGGCTGCGGTGCCTGGGCTGCCGCCGCAGTGCGTGCGTGCCAGCGGCTGCCTACTCATCGTCGAGGGTGAAGCAGCTTCTGCGGGACCCACGGAGCCCCACGCCCGTTTCTCGTCCCCGCCCCCGTCCCCGCAGCGGCATCGAGGCCAAGCAGCCCAACTCGGCCATCCGCAAGTGCGCGCGCGTGCAGCTGATCAAGAACGGCAAGAAGATCGCAGCCTTTGTGCCCATGGACGGCTGCCTGAACTTCATCGAGGAGAACGTGAGCCACCAGGGCCCGCCGCGCGTCAGCGGCGGAGCGGGCGGAGCGGGCGGAGCAGGCGGAGCGGGCGGAGCGGGGGCGGGAGGGGGGAGGGGCTGTCATTACCCCCAGTCCAGCGGTGGAGGGAGGGCAGGGGCCGGCTCGCAGAGGCAGAGCGGCCGCCGCAAGGGGGCGGGAATGCTGAGCAGCCGGAGGATTTTTTGGTGTGGTTGGAAGCACAGCTGCGAGGCCGGCACACGTCGTGCGGCGGCAGGGCAAACGGCAGCACCCGCGCGGAGGGGGAAAGGAGGGCAGCGCCGGATGCCCGGCCCAGCCCGGCTTGGCCCGGCGGCGCGGGCAGCTGCCGCGCAGCCGCCCGACCCGCTCGCCCCTCCTCAAATCTTCCCCCTCTGCCCCGCCGCCCCACGCAGGACGAGGTGCTCATCGCCGGGTTCGGCCGCCGCGGCCACGCTGTCGGCGATATCCCCGGTGTGCGCTTCAAGGTGCGCCGACGGGCGCGTTCGCGCGCCCTCTCGCCCCCCCGCTGCCCCTGCCGCGCCCTCGAAAAACGGGCAGGTCGGGATGCGAGGCCGCAATCACAGGCGCGGCCGGCAGCGCTCTGCCGAAGGCGTGTGTTGCATGAGGCAGTTGGGATCGCAGGGCTTCCACCGAAACCGCGGCAGCTCGCCGGGTGATGCATCTTGGCATGCCGACTGACGTCACATCGCCTCTTCAACAATGCAAGGTGGTAAAGGTGGCGGGTGTGTCGCTGCTGGCTCTGTTCAAGAGCAAGAAGGAGAAGCCGCGGTCGTGAGGCGCGTGCGGCGGCGGTGCGGGGCGCGCGCACGTGTGCACATGCGCAGCGAGCTCGGCGCCGAAAGCAGCAGCAGCAGCAGCAGCCAGTGGGCGCGCGTGGGTGGGGCGTTCGAGCAGGCCGCGCGCCGCGCGGCGACAGCGCAGGGTTGGTGTTGGGGTGCCAGCCCTGGGCTGACAGGCAGGATACAACTGTCGTTGTAATGGAACCCTGGAACGCCGTTGCGAGCACCCGCAGGAAATAGCAGTGGTGTCAGAGACGGTGGTAGAGAAAGCGGTGGGGCGTGCATGAGAGCCACCACAGCCGGGTGCAGATCATCACAGCCTGGGGGCTTGGAGCTCGTTATAGGACAGGCAGGCTGACGGGATTTCGCCTCAAGAATTTCACCAGCTGCGGTATGGAAGCGGGTCGTGCAGGTGCCGTTGACCGTGTCACATGAGACGATATCATCGGCCTGGCTTGTCACGGCCCTCGCCTGGCTTGTGAGGGCCCTCAGTTGTGCCTGCGCTTCAATCACTCTGTGATGCCTCATCCCTGACAAATTTTCGTTGACAAGCCACCACTTTCGTCACTGCAAATGAGAGCCATTGGTGCAGAAGTCGTAGATGCGCAAGCCTCAGATCGTCCAAGCCCCCAGTCAAAACGAGTCAACCAACCAGATCAGACAGTCTCCAAAGCAACTCTCCTCCGCGTAGCTGGGCTTTCGATGGTGAAGCTTAGCGCTTGATTTGATATTCTCTGACGATTCTCTTAATTCGAGCGGAAAACGAGTGATCTTCGGGGGCCTTTCATCATAACTTCGCGCTTACAGGGTTATTTAGCCAGACGAAATGGACGTCAAGCCAAGGCGAGTGCTCAGAAGCAGGCATTTCTGGTTCAGCTCAGCAGCGCGCCTGATACACCGCACATCTTGTGCATGCTGCTGCGCGCGCATCGATGACTGCCGCCCCCACGGTCCACAGGCGCACGACCACAATAACAGCCAGTCTGCAGCAAGAGACGGCTGCCATGGAGGTGAGCAAAGCATATTGACCCTTCCCCGGGTACGGGTGACCGCACCGCGCACTGCGGACGGTGCAGCCACCGCCGGCTGGCCTCACTGCACCCTGCCATGGCACAATGATTGCCTGACGATGCAGGACCGGCTGGCGCAGCTCAAGGCGGCCATGGCAAAGGAGCGGGAGAAGCGGCAGGCGCTCATGTGAGCGTCCACTTTGCTTGCGTGGGACGCAGATGCTTGCCAAGCTGCCTGCATTGGTGACCCTTCCCCCCCACTCTTTGGCTGATGACTCTGGCACGCACACACCACAGCACGCTCAATCTCAACATGTTCAAAACACCTTGCGCAGGGCCGGGAGGGTCACGGCTGCCGATGGGCAGCCTGCGTCCCTCTGGCGCAACGGTACGGCAGCGGCCCCGCTCAAGCCGACCCGAGCCACAATCAAGAATGGCGCGCCACCGCCCTTTCGCCAGCAGGAAGCGCCGCCCGGGTGCACCAATGCTGCCGCTCGGACTGCAACGCGGCGTGCCTCACAGCAGCAGGGGGTGCCAGCAGGGGGCGCGGCGGCGGGCCCCGGCACCGGCGCAGCGGGCCCACGCGCGGCGTACAGTGCATCTTTTGCGTCTTTTGCAAGGCCGCACAACCCGCAACACCCGGCACCCAGTGGCGAAGCTGCATCCACACCGCCAGCAGGGCAGCGCACGAGCAGTAGGTCATCCAGCAGCGGCAGCGGAAGCCGAGGCGGCAGCGCTGTGTCTGGGGACCATCAACTCAAGCCACAGCCGCCGCTGAGGCCGGCGCCGCCAGATGAGATATGCCCTGCACAGCGGCAGGCGCCTCGGCGGCGAGAGTACCAGCAGCAGCAGCAGCAGCAGCAGCAGCAGCAGCAGCAGCAGCAGCAGCAGCAGCAGCAGCAGCAGCAGCAGCAGCAGCAGCAGCAGCAGCAGCAGCAGCAGCAGCAGCAGCAGCAGCAGCAGCAGCAAGACAGTGACCCGGGACTCGTCCCACATCGGCCGGCCCCAGCACAAACTCAACGCCAACCCAACCCAGGCGGGTCCGAGCGGCCTGCCCAGGAGCGCGACGGCGGCGCGCTTCTGGATGGCGCATTTGATGAGAGGGAGGGGCGCCTGTCATTCCTGGAGGCTCTGCAGGAATGGAGGAGCGGGGGTACCACAGCCTGTGCTGCAGGTGCAGCAGCCCCGGGCCCAGGTACTGGGGGCGGCCCCACTGCTGCACACCCCGATGGCGGTGGCGCCCAGCGCCACTGTGCCCAGCCGGCGCCTGCGCCCGCGCCTGCGGCAGCTGATGTGCAGACAGACTGTCCTGCAGCTGCGCGGCCACTTGCAGTGCGCCGCCCGTCGTCGTCCTCCTCGTCGCGTGTGCCTGTGACGCTCGGGCCTGACGCCCAGCCCATTTTGGCTGCAGGCAGCAGCGATGCACAGCAACAGCAGCAGCAACAGCAGCAGCAACAGCAGCAGCAACAGCAGCAGAGCATGGGCGTGGCAACGTCGTACTTTGCACGGTTGGCCCTGGCGAGCCGCGGCATCGGCGGTGGTAGCGGCGGCGCCGGAGGTGACACCTGTCCAGAGG